ACGTTACTACTACAATCTGTTTCCTGTCCATATCTCTCAGCAGGCATAGTTGCACAAGTATGTGTACTCACTCAGCTACCCATCATACCTTTCAGAATACAACATCACCATGTGTCCAGTTATAGAGCTCTTTTTTAAATCTCCATACAAACAACTCAATCATCAACACAAACAAAAACAACCAGAGACATACTGGCATTTATCAAAGAGAGAGAGAAATCCACCATCCTGGCTGCCATTCTGTGACTAAATAATCAAATGGTGTCCCCTGCTGACCACATCCCAAACCTGCACTAAAAAAAGACAGCAATAACACTTCTGTGTGTCACATTTTCTCAGTGGTGGAGAAAGTACTCAAACACTACACTAAAGTATAGTAGTACAGATAAACAGAGAAAATTTTACTCTAGTAAAAGTAAAAGTTAAAGTACCACATTAACATTTTTACTTAAAATATTAAACGTAAAAGTAGCATAATGTATTTTCTAACGGTCTACAATGTCATGAAGTGTGTCTAGTGTATGTATATTTTAATACAGCAGTGGAGTGCCATTTTAGTGAACATTTCTGCAGATAATGCATGTTTTTGTGATTACCCTCTGTGATACTGTGCATCATCCGACATTGTTACAACAGCTGTAAATTCAACACAAATCTCTATAAAATCTCCATGACTTGTTTTTTGAACCGGTTAACTTGAATAAGTCTTTTAGATTAGGCCATGGGTGGCATATCTCTGGYTAACTCTGTGGTGGAATCCATTTTGGGTATGCTGGTTCTGATGCTCCAGTAGGTGATTCGCCTCGCTCTTCTTGAAGGAGGGTCTAATAGTATTTTCCTGCTTTGCAGTGGTTCAGTGGACCAATTCCCATCTCGCTACTGATTACTTTCAAACTAAAATAAAATAAAATAAAAAAGTAATATGACAAGACGTGAATGTAACTTGTAATGCATTGCATTACAGAAGTGGGGTAGAAAGTACAGACACTTAATGTAAAATGTAGTGGAGTAAAAGTTGAAAGTACTCATAATTAAATCTACTTAAGTAAAATACAGATAGCTACATAAAAATGCACTTAAGTACGGTAAGAAAGTACTTGTACTTTGTGACATCCCACCACTTTTTTTTTTATTAAATTCAATCACAGTTCAGTCATAAAACTATTTTTGTTTTATTTCATTATCATAGCTTTAGCTGTGTTTTGTAACAGGAAACACTGCATATACACATATAAAGTATTCATACTTATCTATCCTTGAGTATGTTTTCTCAGAGACAGACCTGACCTGAAAGTGTTCCCAGGCCAGAGAGGGAATACATTTTGTTCCCTCCAGAGATTTCTGGATCTTCTCCCATGGAACGTGTCAGGAGACCCTCCAAAGGGAGATGTTTAGGTGGCATCCTGACCAGATGCCCGATCCACCCCCAGGTGACTTATTCATTTATTTATTTATTGAACATTTTCAAAACCAAGTAAATTGTATCAGAAAGTAAAAGAGACACACTTAATTCAGTGGTTTTGTTAGAAAGGATTTATAAATCAGTCATTGTTGGCTAAACAAGCGAAATCTATTCTTTCTACAATGTTATAGGAAGACTCCATTTCTRTAAAAGTACAAAGAAATCGTTTAAAAAACTACAATTGTTCTTCAGGATTTCTGAAGCCTGGAGAACCACTGATTAGGACCACTTAAATATATATATAAATAAAAGAAAGTCTGGTTGTTTAGAAGCAAAAAATAAAACGTTAGCGGTGACTTAGTAGTAACGGACAGTAGCAGAGAAGTAGGTTTGTTGGAAAGGTTATTAACAGTTATTACATTATTGGTTGTAGATATTGCTTTGAATTACTTCAGTTTGATAAAGTCAGACAGGACTGATGAGCTRATGGCTAGTCCAAACCCAGCTAAAACCAAACTGAACTGACATCTTACAGTAATCAGACTCAGTTTGTCATTCAAACCTTACAGATAACAAAAAGCAGTTACCCACTCTCTGACTCTGTGTGCACTGTGATTAAATGAATCAGTCAATCTTTCAAAGAATATTTTTAAAACTATGCATTTT